ATTGCGGAGATCAAAGATATTCAGCTTATTAATCTTATTGGTGGTAGTTTATATAAAATCATAGCAAAGATTTTAGTCAATAGACTGCGCCAAGTGATTCACATGTTTATTAAAAGACCGCAATAAATATTCTTGAATGATAGGAAAATTATGGATAGTATTTTACTTGCACAATAATGTATCCACTCAAGAATCAAGGATGGCAAACCGGGCCTTATTTGTAAGCTAGACTTTGATAAGGCATATGATAAATTTGATTGGGGGATACTACAAAGTATTATGGCAAAAATGACTTTTCGCTCAAGGTGGAGATTGTGGATTGGCGGTTACCTGTGTTCTACCTATTTTTCTATTCTTGTTAATGGCAAAGCAGCCAGGTTTTCCAAAGGATAAAGAGGATTGAGACAAAAAGACCTCTTTCACCATTTTTATATACTTTGGTAGCTGGGAGTTTTAGTGTCATGCTTAATGGATTGACAGTACAAAGGATCATATCAGGTGTTAATATCGGTAATAATGGTCTTATAATATCACATTTATAATATATTGATAATACCATTATATTATGTAATCCCACGGTGAAGGAAATTGCTTGCCTATGGATTTTTTTGAAAAGTGTGGAACTCTTTCAACTGGATTTAAAATTAATTTGAGTAAAACCAAGCTCATTGGTATTGGCTGTCCACAAATGGTCGTAAAAAGGTTGTGGGGTTGAGTCATTACTTTGTACTTATTTAGGAACCTCCTTAGTGGATTCGAGGCCTTCAAGTTCAATTTAGGATCCGGTAGTGGAGAGATTTGACAAGAAATTGGACGCTTGGAAAGCTAAAACTCTTTCTGGGGAGAAGATATACGTTAATTAAATCCATCTTATCCAACCTCCCAATATTTTTTATGTACTTATTTAAGATGCCAAAACAAGTTGAAAAGCAACTAGAGAGAATTATATGAAATTTCTTGTGAGGAGATGACATACGAAAGAAAAGTTTTCATCTGGTGAGTTGGAAAAAAGTTTGTAAACCAATGAAGGAGGGAGGATTGGGTGTTAGGAAACTGAAACATAAAAACTCAACACTTTCAGTAAAACGGTAGTAGATGATCCATATACAACCCGAGTCTTTCTGAGTGCTTGTTCTAAGAGATAAATATGGAATGGACAAATGGATTTTGGTTTGACAAATGGATCCATACACAACCCGAGTCTTTTGGTTTGACAAATGGATTGGAGATGACCCGTAGAGATACATTTTCCATAAGGTTTTTTAAAAAACTTTAAATCCACTAGCATCTGTCAGGGAGGTTAGTGGGGGTGTTTATACTAATATTGTTTGGTTCATTCCTTGAAGGTACAGGAGAGGTACATACAGATTTATTAAGGAGTATTAAATATTGTTGGAATTATTGAATGGCACATATTTGACTCAAAATATAGATGATAGTTTTATTTGGGATCTTACCGCTTTGGGATATTTTTCAGTTAAGTCAACCTACAATCTACTATTTTCTGATCGTTGGAGAGAGTTGGATGCTGGTTTATTCAAGATTAAGAAATGACATGTGCCTATTAAAGTGCAGCTATTCTTATGGATCATGTGCCAAGATAAATTAGCAACTGTTGACAACTTGAGAAAGATAGAGTTTATTATAACTAATGTATGTATCCTATACAAAGATAGTGATGAAACTTCACAACATTGTTTTCTGTTATGCCCTTTTGTTACATATTTTTGGGATTGGGCTCAACAGTGCCTCAATTTGTCATTACCTTTGCCCCAAAATGTCAGAGCTCTTTTTGACCAATGGATCACACCTGGTATTTCAAAGATATGAACTATTCTTTGGAGATCTATTTGGATTAGACTTTTTTAGAGTGTGTGGAAGGAAAGAAATAGAATAGTCTTTGATTGTATTAGTACAGATATGTCTACATTAAAATCGAATATTTTAGCAGTTGCAACTGATTGGTTCATTACAAATAAGGATAATGGTTTTATTCTTAAAAGTTGTATCATTAGCAATCTTTTGGATGTGGCGACTGTGGGTGTTACCACCAACATCGTAGTGAGGTTGTTTGGATACCACCACTAGTGAATTTCTTCAAACTTAATTTTGATGGAAGTTCAATTGGCAATCCATGGTAGCAGGCTATGGTGGACTCATTATAGATAATTTGGGTCACATTATATTTTTTTACTCGGGTCCTTGTGGTATCACAACAGCAAATGAGGCAGAAGCATGAAGTTTATTATGAGGTTTTAAATTGCTATCCACTTTGAAAAGGGGCAGGATTATCAAAGGAGACTCGGTAAATGTCATGGCCTGGAGTAAGATAAAGGCCCATGTTCTTTAGAGATTAAAGACTATTTTTTATCAAATTTAGGATATTTTATCAACCTCTATGACAATGGTCCAACATTGTTATAGAGAGACGAATGAAGATGTTGATGTTCTTGTCAAAGGAGGAATTCATATTTCATCTTTGTTGGTTACTTCATTTTTGTAATCTTGTGTTTTTGCATGAACATCTTGTATTTTATATTTGAATTAATGATAAGTCATACGTTACCATTAAAAAATAAATAAAAAAGAATATGAGAGAGGAGAGGTTTGTGGGGAGAGAGGGTGTAAGAGAGAGATTGAAAGAAAAGAGGGAGATGAGAGAGAGGCAGAGAGAAGGATAGGGAAAATGGTACGGTGATGAGACAGAGAGAGAGTAGGTATCTTGCTAGTCCATAATTTGTTTGCGACGGCACCATGTCCTAAAATGCGGTTGAATGCCTTTAGGGGTTCGAAGAAAGATTTTTTTAAAAAAAGGGGTGCCGTTAGATACAAATTTGTGGATCTATTAGGAAATTGTACCTGGGGTGTCCTTATTGATTTTGATTTAAAAATCAAATTCAAGTCTTGAAATGCTTGGAGTCGTATTCATGCTCTCCTAGACTTTGTTTTCTTTCTTTTTTTTAGAATGCATGCTCACCATGTCTTCGTTGGGCGATTCATGAGTCAGAACCGGTGACACTCAACAAAGAAAATTCAAAGATAAAAGTTCAAGAGAACCAAGGCAATTTTGGGTTTCCTTGAGCCATCCATCTTAGGGGGGCAATGGACCCGTACGCGACCCAAGACCCAGCAGGTATATCTGACTTACGTCTGGGTATGGGTCCTAGTTTTAGACCCATAAATAACGTCCGAGAAAAATATCTTATGCCCGCCTATTCCTCGGTCGGGTACGGGTTCTGCCATACCCAACCCATCGGGTAGCCGACCGGTAGTATTATAGAGATTAGAGACAAAGGGATTTTGATGGGCGTGGTTTTGATGGGTGAGCTTTAGAGAGAGAGTCAGAGGGTTGTGATGGGGTGAGATGAGGGTTCGATTTGCAACTTCATATAAACTGCACCTTGATTGTGAGAGCTTGAGATTTGCAGAGAGCATCATGAAAAGAGAGAATAGAGGGGTTTTGATGGGGCTGGTGAGATGAGAGAGAGAGTGTGAGATCCACACTCTCGTTTGTAAGAAGATGGGAAGGAGGAGCAGCATCTATGGCAAGGAGGAGCAGCATCTAAAACAGCTGCGGCTCCACTAAGATTCAGTCATGGTTTCAGAGAGCTCCACGAACATCCAGCCATGGCTTCTCTCTATGTCTTTTTCTAAGCTCAATAAGCCATTCCCTTTGGAAAAAGCCCAACTCCTTTTTGACAATTTCACCCCCTCTCTCTCTAAGCTCCCCAAGATCCATCAATGGCTTCCCATTCTATCTCTTTGTTGGCCATTTCACTGTGAAAGGTCGGTCTTTAACAGTGGGGCTCTCTCAGTTTTATTCCCTGTGATGTGGTTGAAAGTGAGCTCACTTGGAGAAGAGTGCCTGCCTATAATCTGCAGTTCTAAAGGATTTTTCAAGCTTCTGAAAGCTGTTTTCTTGTTACCGAAAAAAAAAAAAAAAGGCGTTTTCTTGTTCTTTAATAGCGATTGTCTTGCAAAAAAAACTCTTAATAAACACCTGGATACAAGCAAATATGTAAGGTACTGCCTAATCAATAGGACTAGAGAGAGAAAACGGGTCCTGTGATTTCTCTCTTGTCCTGTCTTGTTTTTGTAAACCCAAAAGAGGGGTCATCGCCAATTTACCCGGTACAGGTCCTGGTCCGGGTCCGGATAGGATCCTTTTGAAACCATCGCAAACGGGAACAGGTACCCGGACCCGATGTCACCCTTAATCCACCTCCCATTCCCGATCCAATTGTTTTATAGAACGGTCAATTTTCTACTAGAAATCGGCACAATGCTCCTGATTCGCAACCTAGAAGTGTATATTTCAAATATTGAGATAATTAGGTCACCTAAAGCATGGAAGATCTACACTTCGCTCCGTCTAATTTTGAGAAGTCACTCATCCTTTGATCTTAGATTCGATGCTTCAGATTATTTTATTTTTAGTCTTTTATATATATTGTATGAATATGAAATTTGATACATATCATCAAATTATTGGAGCTTGGGGTTCAATATTAAAAATAATTTTCCAATAAAATATAATGATCAAAATACCGATTGAAATTTTTAGGTATTTTATCATTTTATTTTATTAGAAATATTTATATATATATATATATATATATATTGAAGTGCAAGTTTAATAAGGGATTGGACTCCCAAAATTTGGTGTCAAGATATTTTATAGAAAAATTTAAAAATAAAATATTACAAAAATTTGACATTGTGATTGGAGCCATCTTAGCCCTCAATTCAAAATGGAGGGTTGGATAAGAGGGAGTATATAGATTTTATGTTGGAGGGTAAGCATAGGAAGCTTCCCCAGAAAAGTAGAGCTACATCTAAAAATCCGCTTGAAAAATGCTATTCAGGTTAGAAACCCCTATGGATGACTAAAATATATATTTCTACTGCTAATTATTTCTAATGCTTGTGTCGTTCAAAAACAAAGTTGATGACATACATCCACAGAAATAAAATTGCATGTACAAATTGCTGAATCCGAGGAAGAAACACCCAAGAAACCTTCATAAAACATCTTCATCAGTGAAGAGTGGTAATGCAAGTAAAATCAAGAGGCGCTAAGGAGAAAGGAGGGTAAAAGGCTAAAAACTAAGAAATCTTGATGAATAAGAGGTAGCAAAGAGAACAAATGTTTAATGGTGGAAGAGGAAAATGACAAAAAGGAACCAGAGGAACTTGCAAGACGTGAAGTAGGCACAAGAGGAGATATGGTTATTCAACTTATTAGAGAAACATGGAAGGCATTTCTCCATCTTTTAAGTCTTTGCAGTTACAACAGTCACTGATCACATGACTGGATTTTGCAAGTATTTCTCGTATAACTGAAGGGCGATGTTGAGTGCGTCGCCTTCCCCTTTTGAGGGGAAAATCTTCCTGCTATTTTGCCATTTATTAGTAAGTGCAATCCAGTCCCTTCTCCAGTCAATCAAACGAAAATCTTCTCCTGTTTCCAAACTCTCCAATAGATAACTGAAATATATTGCCGCTCGAGGACCATAGTAGTCTTGTAGTAGTCCACTCCAGTACTTGTTCCCTGATAAAACATATGTATAGACATGTCTAACAATACAGTAATAATCAAGGAAACAAGCTACCTTGGAAGTACAAGCAACAATAATCCCGAGAACCTACCATAGTCCCGAAGTAGGCTGGCCTCCACTTCTGTGTTGTCAAACCACATTGTTATTTGGGTTCTGGCATTCCATTCATACTAAAAGAAACGAAGACAGAAAATTAGTACATGCTAATGGACTAGTAGTGGTTGACAACCAATTCCCAAAAATTTGAAATTGAAAAATGGTGTATTTATATGTATGGAATTCACCTGCTTCTCTTGCTCTTCATTTTGTGCAAGTTCTTTTGCACTTTCTAACCATGGCCCAAGCAAAAACCCTTCATGGCATGCCAAGAGTGTGTCAAGGTCATTGACAATGTCCAAGAAGAGTTGGCTGTATAGAGCTACTCCATGGAGGTCCTTTGACTGATAGGCTGCTATGACCTTCAGGAATATTTGGTTCGCATGTTTTGCTACCGCTTGTCGTGTGAGATCAATGAGATCATATCTGATGATACCAAAGGAGCAACAATTAGGTGCATAGGAAGATAACAACTATGACTGATAATGATCACAATCTTTTCTAAGTCATCATTATTTAGGTAAAAGTATCTCATTGAATTTGATATCTAACCAAATTTTAGTTTCGGCCAGCAGAGGCGATGTCTGGAATAATCTTAAGTTCGCTGCTTATTTTCGCATAAGTTTAATTAGTTGATTCATGCCCCTTTCTGGCATCTGCTTTTAAATGGGTCATTGGAAGGGCCTCGTAACATTTACAGGTCCTGCTTTTCTTTTCTGTTAATTAGAAAATCTTATTCTTTGCCATCTACCAAGTTAAAATTTGAACCTGGATCTAGATCCTGAGTATTAGTATAAATCTGTATAAAAGAGAAAAAGAGGAGAAGAAAGGAACAAGAGAGATATGAGCGACAATTGGGCAGATCATTTGGATTCATCTATCGTATTAGACCAATCACATTTATATATTATTAACATAAAATATAAAAGGCTACCCCGATAAAATAATGATTCTCAGTTATTCCCCTAACTAGATATTGCAGTTTCAACACTCCTCAAGTTGGAGCATAGATAGCCATCATGCCCAACTTGGCTGTTATATCTTGTAGTCTGCCACGTGTGCAACCTCTTTTGCACGAGTATGACTGGCCTCCTCACTAGTCGATATAATAAAAGGCATGAGATGAATTACATTAAGTCGTCAAATGAGATCCCAACACAGTCCTTTAGCATGTTGAAACTTTCCAAAATGGGCACATTTCAGTTTATCCTTTTCTTTAGGAGTGAAGTGTTAGAAACAAGTGCAGACCACCACTACGGCCTCCACCTCAACCACCACTACGGCCTCCACCTCAACCACCACTACGACCCCTACCACGACACTAAGGTGTTAGAAAAAGAACAGACCTTTCAAACTCACCAATAAAACAGAATTATAATTTCCCGTGAGTTTCTTTATATTGAAGGAAAAACAAAAAAAAGTTGTTTCCAGTAGTCAAGCTTCACCACCCAGAACATTAGATCTAATAGTTTCATATTCTGGATTAAGGCCCCAATAGGTCAAATATATACTTCTATTCCAACCTTTCTATTTTGCTCTTTTGCACAATGAGAGCAATTTATGGGCTCATAGTGGTGCCGTTCATCCCAAATACCGTGTAACTAGCATAATAATCTACAACTGATGTATCTTGTTTGAAGTTGCTGATTTGCTGTTCTAACTTCCAGATTTTTGAGATATTATTCTTCTGTGATTAAGCTTCAGCCACTGCTTCCCATAGTTATTTTAAGTAACACTCTTCATAAAGTAACACTATTCATAAACATGCGACGCAAGTATGGCTACATAGAATTCAAAAGCCAGTTCATAAAATTCATGTCACAAGCTTTCCAATGTTTTTCTATATGACTATCAATATAACCAAGTTTTTCCTTCCACCAAGGTAGAACTGTACAGATCTGGCCCATTCAAGTTGTTTGAGCCATCAAATTTGGCAGTCGTGATTTGAAGGCCATAATACTCCATAGATCATGTTTGTTGTGCTTGTGACATTGGTACCATTCCGAGACAAATAAATTAATCATTAAACCAATGAGAATCTGTTTTTGAGATATGGACACACCTTCAGATCTCTCTTAGATACTCTGTAAAGACATAATAACACCACACCATGCAATAAGGAGCAACTGATTATACAATCGTGGCTGCAAGATCGCTATTTGATAAACATCAAATAGTCGCTACCAGACACCAAAAAACTGAATCGATCTGTATCAGATTCCACTGATCCAATAACTTAATCTTTTGATTCCATTAAAGTTTAGATGATTTCTCATTAAAAATTGACCAAATCTGTGCAACTAGACTAGTCAAATCATCCAATTTATCCGATCAATAAAACCCTAAAAATCAATTTTAGGGTTTTTAAGAAATCAAGAAAGTTCGTAAGAAACATCCTCCAAAATATAGTAAAAGAAATCATCATTATCCTCAAATATCAAGGTCTCTAGTGTTGGAGTACTTATTTACTTGCAGCATCAGCGGTCCTGACTGTATAACTGCTGACATTGGTAGTATGGATAGAGTTTCACTAGTTCACCCTCAAACTTTCCTTCAAATCTGGACCTTGAACGGATACCAGGTTAATCTATTCTAGTTCTGAGTATTAGCATATCATCTATATACAAGAAGAAAAGAACAGAACATAAGAAGACAAAGAAGAGAGACAAATTAGGCAGATCATGTTGATTGGTCTATTTTTCTCGACTAATCACACGTCATTCACATGGAAAAATTACCCTAATAAGCAATGAATCCCAATTATACCTCTAACTAGATAATAATCGACGTTACGCTCCTAACTAGATATTACTTTGTCAATGTATTACAGTTCTTTGCCATCTATGAAAAACCTGATTTGGATAGCAAAAATGTGTATGTTAGACATCAAGCAGAGTATGTCATTCTTGGCATCCAACACCATTTTCTTCTTATTCACAGGCATAAGCATAAGGGTTTTGCTTATTCCTTATTAAGGGTCCAAGGATGATTCTGTAGGCTCCACAGAATTAAGGTATAGCATGTTTGGATGAGCTGCTAGTATGCCTAAAGCACAATAGACAAACTGATACGGTGGGTACGCATCCTCAAGGGTCATACCCAATTTAGGAATTGTATGAAAATGATTAGGGTTTTTTTTAATGAAAACAACCCATCTTGATAGTACTCATTTGAGTAAAATAAAGATATCACTAGTGTTATCAAATTCGGCCATATTACACATAATGCTTTATGCAGCCCTAGGAGCAGGGGCGGAAAGAAATTCCCAGGTTATGTAACACCCTCAGAATCCCCTTAGAAACATATCTCCAAGATCAAAACTCAAAAACAAAAAAACAAAATAGAGATTAAAAAATTGTGCTTCCAGAATCTTCAAAAGAATTAGGATTTCTATTTCGAATCGTTGGGCAATTCTTTGAGAATCATTTTGAAGGTTCTAAGATGAAGATTCACCAAGTATTAGAGGCATTCAAGGCTGGGGAGATTAAAATCCAGAAATAGAATTTTGATCAATTTTGGGTTCGGTATCAAAAGTTATGAACATAAAATCAACTTTTAGTCAGTTTCATATTTTAAAACTTTTTTGGGAGCAAAGTCTTCTTCTTCATCAAGTAACAGAGACTCGGTGTAGAAATGTTCAAGAGACACAACAACCCGAAGTATCGAAGTAGTGTTTTTTGTATGGTGTATGAGATAACATATTCAGGGGTATTTTCTAGCAAAAGCTACATCTTGTTGGAATTACCGGGAATGTGTTGGCAAGCCTCAAGCAACGAATGAGATTAGAAGAGAGATTAGTGTATGTTTTGGATAACCTAAGGGCCATAACCTGGCGCTGGTCCCACCTACGCAAGGTCCCGGGAGGGGTAAGATGGAAATGGTCCTAACCTTTGGCTTTTTATGCACAAAGTGGATGCTCTCAAGATTCGAACCTACGCATTTGTGCTGGCTATCCGAGCCTTTTACCGTCACACCAAGTGACGGCCCCTATATGTTTGGATAGCCTAAACAAAAAAAAAATAAGAAAAGAAAAACAATGAAACAAAAAGAACTGTTGGATAAAATTCAACCATATGATTATGATGAAGATGAAGGATCTGAAGTTGGCAGTGGGCAATGGGTTATAACGGAGAGGGCTTTAAATATTGGGCATAAAAGGCCTCTCACTAAGTGGCCAATGGATGCCAAACAACCAGGTAAACAAAAAAAAAAATGCAAACTGGATCCCACATAATCAAAAAAATATGCAGCATTGAACTTTGAATTTTACTAAAACGTTGTTAACTATATTCCCTCTCTATTTTATTATAGTTCTACAGTTGCATTAAACTTAAATATCTAAAATAAAATGCTATTCAGTGGTGAGCAGCATATAGGAGCGCAGTGTTTTAAAATGCGATCGCATCAAGCACTATGCGTTGGGCTACGCATCGAAAATCCCCGCATATGTGGTTTGGAGAGATGTGCCCACATATGTGCTTCATCTCTCCGCATCAGGGCTGCATTCCGCATCTGACCACATTAGGCCGCATAATCTTCCGCCATTTTTTTTTTCTAAACTATACCCCTTAGGCAAGGGTAATAAGGTCTTTTTGACCTTCGAAAATGAGGGAAAAGGGTTTTGGGGGTATTAAACCTCCCAAACAACATTTTTTAGCCACATCCGTGGCTTTTATTGGATCGATTGAATCAAAAAAAAATTGGCCGAAAATTTTATTTGTTGAAGTTCTCCTTTAATTTGTGCATTTGTTGATGCTTGGTTGTTGATTTGTATCGTTTGGGTGCTGATTTGAGGAAGTTTAGGCAAACTTGTGACGACAAATTGAAGGTTTGTAACTTTAAAGCTCTTTAATCTTTATGGAATTTTAGTTTGTAGTATTTTGTAATTTCAAAGTATGTGGTTGCAGATTTGTGCTTGGTTGTTGATTGTTGAATGTTGAATGTTTCATGAAGCTAGTTTCAAGTTTCTAGTTTCTATCAGGGGATAGTGGATACAAAATCTCTAACAACTAGTATTTTTGGAGTTAATAAATAAACTAAATATCTACTATCACATATATCACCTCCACATTTTTTTATATGCATTAACCTATTTTTTTAGATTTTTTTTATATTTATTGACTGCATCGCTGCATTGGCACGCCCCACTGCTTTCAACCGCATCCCGGATTTTAAAACACTGTAGGAGCGAGATACCAGATCTCCAATGTCTCACTATTGGAGTATTGAGCCCCATGTGTAGCCTATCTAGTCGTGAGTGCAGTTGGAGCACATTTGAACATCTAAGTGTTTATTTGCTTATTTTTCAATTTTGTAGAAACTAGAACCTAGATAGTGGGAAAATAAAATTCTACAGGGCATTGGTGAAGTAACAATTTCTCTCCTTTGCTTATATGATTGTATCAACTTTGCATCATAGTTCTATA